TGGATTATGGAGATACTTTTTCTCCTGTGGCAAATATGACTTCTGTTCATTTATTTATCGCCATGGCCGCTCTTCAACAATGGCCTCTTTATCAACTAGATGTTAAAAATGTTTTCCTCAATGGTGATTTGCAAGAAGAAATCTATATGGAGCAACCTCCTGGGTTTGTTGCTCAGGGGGAGTCTTCTGGGATGGTATGTCGTCTTTGCAAATCCCTATATGGCCTAAAACAGTCTCCTAGGGCCTGGTTTGGAAAGTTTATCAAGGTTGTTCAACACTTTGGTATGACTCGGTGTGAAGCAGATCACTCTGTCTTTTATTGACACTCAAGTGCTGGATGTGTTTACTTGATAGTATATGTTGATGACATCGTTCTTACAGGTAGTGACAACCATGGCATCTCTCAGTTGAAACAACATCTCTGTCACCATTTTCAGACCAAAGATCTTGGCAAACTTAGATATTTCTTGGGTATTGAGGTGGCACAGTCCAATGATGGTATTGTTATATCTCAGAGGAAGTATGCCATGGATATTTTAGAGGAAACTGGGTTGATGAATTCAAAGTTTGTTGATACGCCCATGGATCCCAATACTAAACTTTTACCAAATCAGGGGGAGCTTATACCTGATCCTGAATAGTATAGAAGATTGGTTGGAAAATTGAATTATCTTACAGTTACTCGTCCTGACATTTCCTTTGCAGTCAGTGTGGTAAGCCAATTTCTTAATTCCCCATGTAAAGATCATTGGAATGTAGTCATTCGTATCTTAAAGTATATTAAAGGATCTCCTGGAAAAGGATTGTTATATGATTCTAATAACCATACAAGAGTTGTTTGCTACTCAGATGCTGATTGGGCAGGATCTCCTTCGGATAGAAGATCTACATCTGGATATTGTGTCTCCATTGATGGTAACTTGGTCTCATGGAAAAGTAAGAAACAAAGTGTTGTGGCAAGATCTAGTGCAGAAGCAGAATATAGAGCTATGGCCTCAGCTACTTGTGAACTTGTTTGGCTCAAGCAATTACTTAAAGAGTTAAAATTTGGAGATGTCACTCAAATGTCACTTGTGTGTGACAATCAGTCGCTTCTTCATATTAGTTCTAATCCTGTCTTTCATGAGAGGACCAAACACATTGAGATTGATCTGTCATTTCATTCGAGAAAAGATTATGTCTGGAGACATCAAGACTGAGTTTGTTAACTCAAGTGATCAGTTATCGAGATATTTTTACTAAATCTTTACGGGGTCCTAGAATTGATTATATTTGTAACAAGCTTGGCACATACGATTTGTATGCTCCAGCTTGAGGGGAGTGTTAGATATTGTTTAGATATTATTTAATATTGTTAAGATATTGTTAGATATTAACCATAATATCAAACAATATCTTCTGTTTATTCTGTTACTTTCAGTTACTCTTTTAGTTGTATCTCTCTACTATAAATAGACTACCCTATGTGTGATTTATACACAAGGGAGATTAATCTGAAACTCTATTTCTTCTATATTCAACAGATACAAATTGACACTCAAGTTTAGTTTAATAGTTTAAAAACTTAACTTTGCATGAGGATATACAAAAGTTGAAGTTCGGGGGAGTTGATAAGTGGGATGAAAACTTTTAGGTTAAAGTTAAGTTTAATTTTTGTTAAAAGTAGGTAGAACATAAAAATCAGTTTTTCCAAATATTGGAAGTTAGAAGTGAAGGGAAAAAAATTTTGAGGAAATGAAGATTTCGCTAAACGATTAGATCATATTTGCTGAGCGAAAATTATGAATTTTATGATGAGTGCAGTACCTACTCTCGCGCAACGAAGATTTTTCTTGTCCAATAAGAATATATTTTATGATCAATCTTTAAATAGAAAAAAAATGTGTAAAGGGGGACCAAAGAAAAGACCTAAAGGAATTGCTGGCAACCAGACGACATTCTGGAGCACATCAAATCTCAAACTTCTCAACTCTATAGCTATATGAGCATTGCAATGTGGAAGAGTAGTTAATCTCTCGTATTATTGGGTTGAATATAATAAACCTGAATTGCTTATAGCTTATTTGATTTAATATATATTTCTCTCCTATTTTTGTATTTGATCATTATAGTTAATGATGTTTAGCTTGATCCTGCTTGTTTTTGTTACTCCTTTATATTGGAAAAATGATTTTGGACCTGTGATCCAAAGATTAATAGACTTTGGTTTTTTCATATTAGACATACATTTACTTTGAGTCTCCTTAGGTACCTGAATGTAATGTAAATTGTGGGTAAAATGATTTAAGGGATTAAATAATTTTACTAATGGTTTAGAATTTTGTTTCTATGGGATTAGACTGAGATAAATACAATGTGGATAATGAAACAATGTCAATGGTATATTCAGTTTATTTTGTCTGACAGTGAGTCCAGATTAAAAAAATATAACAATACAATATAATACAAACTATAAAAGCTAAATTAGTACAAAAACTAAAATACTTAAAAGGTAAAATTACAAACTAAACTAATATAAAGTTTAAACTAATACAAAGTCTAAACTAGTACAAAAACTAAACTACCTAAATATTAAACTACTTAATATAATACAATATAATACAACTAATAATCTACAAACTAAGTACTAGAAATGTTTAATGAATAGCTTTGTTTATTACTTTATAATTTGTGTAATATCATGTTTTAATAGTGGAGATTGATGAATCTTGAAATACCTAAAACATTAACATGCAATACGTATAAAGGTAAATCGACTTAACAAATGTTGAAAGTAATTACCTTCATTCAAGAATTAGTTATACCCACACAAATTATGACTTTCATCAAATACATGATATAGTAGTCATATTCAAAGGAGTTTGATTATTACATTGAATTGAGAAACAAAACATAATGTTATTTTCAAAATTTAAATACAAGATTATAGATATTATAATAATATAATATATTTCACTACTTTTGTTTATTACATGTGGTTAAGAACACATTTTACAAAAATGGTTGGGAGTTTTGTCCTCTCTTCTTCGTTTTTTTCCCTTTGTTTTCATATAATGTGCTTCCAAATCCGACATCGGAGTCAAAACTTATCCTCATAAAATCCTATATACTGTAATATCGTTTTTTTACATCATATCATATCATTTTTTTCTTACTTACTCATTACTATTATATAATTAATATACAAACAACAAAAAACGTGGAATTCAAACAACTAAATCGTGAAAACATAAAAATACAATGTATAAATTATAAATTCACTCAAACGCATAAACGAGATAATTATAAATTATAATAGTTCAATTTCAATAATAATTCAATGGAGACATTCATGCAATAACGTGATTATTGAGATACCAAAAAATAATCACAGATTCAATCAACATAAAAAAGGAGACAAAATATTAATCTTAAATATACAAAAAACACTCTAAAACTCAAATTTAATAAAAAAAAAGTTAATCACTACAAATGAAATACAATGTAGGAGTTTTCTCATCACAGAAAAGAAAATCTTGGATATTTATGAATATAAAATTTTACATTATTATATTATTCATTCAACATGAGTAGAAATTACATTGTTTGACCTTTTAATAAGAAATTATAGATAAAACATTGAAAAATGCACTGTGGTTAATATACAAATAGGATTAGGTTTAAAATTTTACAATTCATCATAAATAATATGAAGTCTTGTAAAGAATTTAGTAACGGATTAATCACTTTGCATTATCGAAAAGGCTTCAAAGTTGTAATTTTGAATTATGATGAACATCTCCTTATGAATATCATACTTTAAGGTCTTTCCATGTTTCATTTACTTGATTCATCCAAGGAATTTTTTTAACAAATAAAAAATAAATGAACAATATAAGATATCATAATATTGTATTGTTGCATCACCATGCAAATACATTCTCCATATTTTGGAGGTTTTATAGCATTTTCACTAACAAATTCTATTGTTATTTACACAGACAGTGGTAATCATAAACCAAAAATAATAGTTGATAGAATTAATAACAAGAGAAACACTTAATCAATTAATCAGATGAGTAATTATGAACATCATATGTGTTCAATATTCTTGTCTAGGAAAATAAAAAATAAAGAGTATGCATTAGAGCTCTTAAATTAAAGAGAGCTAATACTATAATAAAATTATTCGTAAAAGAACCAATATTTGCTGATCAAAAGATGAAACAAATAAATAACCATTATTATCTTATTATGAAGATAAGAAGAAGTAAAATACAAAGACTAGTGTAGAAAGGTGAAATTAAGAGACTAAAAAATAGTTATACACTAATTGTTAATAACAAATAAATATAAAGGTTAGATAAGAATTATTTTTTAAAGTCACAATATTATGGTGGGAGATATTTTTATCAATTATAATCTAATATCAAATATGAAAAAAAATTGTAATATATACTAAGCTAAAGTTTGTTCTTGTAAAGACTTATTTTAAGGAACTTCTCCCTAAGTATTCCTAATCCTAGAATAGAAAAAACATAAAAATAACATTTTTTAACTTAAAATTAATTTATATATTAGTTAAAAGCTATATTGCAAAGAAATTAACAGGAAATAACTACTATAAATGACCTAATAATCTTTTAGAGAAACTTTGTTGATTATTTTCTTATTTTTCTTTTCTAAAACTGCTTATGAAATTTTTTATCGAACTTGATCCTAAACACTACGCCATTGTCAACATAAAATGTAGTGTGAAATTATAATTTACATTTTATAAGGACTTTTCGTATGAAACCTATCTCGACCACGTAGCAATTGGGTAAAGAAAGTTATGCATAATCAAATATCAAAACATAACATATGGTTAAAAAAATAATACTAATATCTCCTGATAAATATTGTCCTTGTGCACCAATGAAATTCAAATCCTTAAAAACCTTTCCTTCGTAATTGACTACCCATTTATTTGTAAGTTTTTACTAACTTTGTAGAATGTATACTTTATTATAACTACAAGATCAACAACCAGCAGCTTTTAAAAAGTTATCATAGGGACTTGATACTGGAAGTTCGAAAGGGTGAGGTTGATTTTGATATTCTGTTGCACACAATATTGGAAGAGGACTAGAAGTGGGTTTGAAAAAATCCACTTCAACATTATCATCAAAGGGAGGAACATCCACCTGCATTTATGTAACTTAATTAGATACTTCGTTTCTAAACAACAAAATAACACAAAAATACTTGGTTTCTAAAAACCCACCTGCATTAAAGGTCATCAATATGCTTGATTTCGAAGGAAGCAATATGCGATCAAAATTGATATAAGAATGACATAATAATTTGAGCTGGTTATTTCTTCTTGTTGTGCTTAATGCATTTGCGTTTGAAGAAAAATTTTGTTCATTGATCAATATTGTAGTACATTCTACCAAACTCATTCATGTCAATAGTACTTTGATTGGATATTTCTAGTGCGAAAAAGGAGCACGCTAGGGAGATCAACTATTTCCTTTGCTTTTTTGTATAACAAAGGAGGTTTTGAGTAAGGGTATATCTATTTTAATGGAGAAACAATGCATGCTAATTGTAGCTAGCTCGAGAGTTATGTCTTTCTCGTTGATCATGTCTTGTATGTAAATGATTTATTTGTTTTATGTAAGGCATATGAAAGAATCCTCAAGAACTTGATATGGATCTATTCATTATATATGAACAATTATTGGGTTAATCTGTGAGTTGTGAAAAAAGTTAGTTCTACAAAGGAAACATTCTACATTTACTGAATAGGTTATAAAAGGGTCACTTGGTTTTTCTAGAGGCGAAATTCCTTTAACCTACTCATGTATTCCAATTTTTAGAGACACTCCAACGTCAAGATACTTTAGAAATTATGGATAAAGCATGGTATCAGGTTGCCAATGCAAATGTTGATTGCCATGGGCCATGTCCACCTAGTGAACTAAGTTATTCACGTATCTTACATTTACATTTTTCAAATATATATGTAACCTACTTTGCTACTGAATTAAACGGAAACTTGGATGAGAAACTGATATGGTCAAGTAACTTAAATGGTGTAGAGTTTGCAAGCCTTTGGATGGTGGTGGTTTGGGGCTAGTCCTAATAAAAGACAGTTATGAAGTTTACATGGGTTCTTGATGAGAGTTTGATTCCTTAAAAATAATAAAACAACATTTATGCAGTGTGAAGCCTCTGTAGTGTGGCCTCTTTGGCAAAATGTAAACCTTTCACTCTATGATTAGACATATTGTGTTGATAGTTTTTTTTTTTTTTTTTTTTTTAAGGTTAGAATTTACAAGCTTTGTTTGGTATGATTACATGATTGAGTGAACACTAATAGTGATTGCTTTAGAGATAGATTTGACCTCTAAGATTTTAGGTTTAATGAGTTCTTATGTTTCTCATTGGTTGTTTTGATCCAATTTTGCTAAGACCATTTTTTTTTATGGTATTTTAATATGAAATAGATGATTAATGAAGTAGGATACTGTAACTTAGTTAATATGCCATATTTTTATAGAGGTATCTCATGTGTTAGTTATATATATATATATATATATATATTAAGGCTTGATTCTAAAATTGGAAAATTAAAAACCACATAATTTTAAAACTAAAAATTATAAAACCAAAACTTTTTTTTCTTTTAAATTGAAAACTTAAAATTGAACCATGACAAATATGATATACATAGGAGTAATATACTAAATTCATACAGAGTATAATGCAGATAATTTAATAAACTTTTGTTAAATTATATTAAAAATTATAAGATATCTAATTTAATTCTTTATACAACGAGAATTATCCTTATCTATGTTATTATATATTTAATCGATACGTGATTTCATCGTATTTTTTATTTTAATGGAAATTTTTTATTATACTTCTTCGTTTATAAGGAGAATTTTTTCATACATCCCTCGTTTCTAGAGAAATTTTCATCGTACTTTCTATTGAAAGTTTAGAGGAAGGAATTACCTTAGGAAAATCCACATCCACATGGTTAGAGGAATCCATTTTTTTCAATTCACTGCCTCGATTCAATAAATCTGAGTCCACCGAAGAGTCTTGCTTATGTTGAGCACTCATCAATCTAGACATCTTCTGCTTTTCCATCAAAAGTTCCTCACATTGATCCGCCATATCTTTGTATGGCATGTTAAATGTGTTTGATACAGATATCCTCTCAGTTGGGTTAGATGTGTCCAACACCTAAATTCAAAGTGCAATGCCAATTTTTTGTGTGTAATTAATACAAGAACTTAAAACACAATTCAAATAGCACAAAATTGTACAAGGAAAAAATCATAACAAAAGGGATTACGTACTAGTTCTAAAAGTTGATTAGCACTTAGAAAATTAGGGACCTCTGTAGATAATGCCGAGTTTTGTTTAGTTTGACTTTCAGAAGGTTCAAGAATGAAGTCATCATCAATAGTTGAAATTTTAGCAGCATGCTGCAAAATGGTAAAGTTAATCGTGTCAATCATAATTTCTGAGTATATGCAAAAAGAAATTAGAAACACATAAAAGTTTATTAGTTCCAAATAAAATCCATTAACTCACCTTTGTAGCCATTTTCACATTCAATTGAGATCCAAGTCCACACATCGCATCTGGTGCAAAATCTTGCAGTAGTTGTTCTTTTATTGATGATAATTCAGCCTAATAAACGATAAAAGGTTCATGATGTCTTAAACTACAATTTTTTTTATTGACAATTTGAAACACACAAGTAAAAGTTTTACCTTTGCAAACATTTCCAAGCTCTTGATGATTTCTACAGCAAATATGTCTCGTGTTTGGTGTATATTACTCATTAACTCCGAAAGTGTCTTTTTGGCCCTATCATCATCCTCTTTAGATCCATAGATGATGGTTAAATTGTCAGGTGCAAAGCTGACAACTTGCAACTTATAATCTTCAATTAATTGAAGGTAGGGATCAACCTTAATCCAGAACAAGACAAAAGTATTAAAGGTTACATGATGTTTTACTTGCAAAAACTGGAGAGAGAAAAATGCAAGATCACATTTTTATAGTTAAATTATTTACCATTATATACAATATTTGTTGCTTGAGAACTAGGACATCAAATATTCATGAATAAAAGAAAAATAATATTTTTTTATTTCATCAAGTTGTTAACATATCATCATTGTAAATAATTGGATATAGTTTTAAGAAATTGCATTACCTGTCTATCCATAAGCACTCCCTTGGCGCTCTGGACAAGACGATCAATGTTGTATTCTTTTGAAGAAAATACAATCATTGAAGTAGCTAGAGTAAAGAGTGATCTTCGTCGAGATGGTGGTAATGACCCTAACAATAGAAAGTAAAAATAAAGAGTTCAAAGGCTAAATATTTTCCAAAAAAAAACCCTTGATTTGTCATGCCTATTAATTCTATTAAAGTAACCAAGAAAAACCCAATTATGACACAATTTGCATTAGATTGAATTCTCAACTAAAGGTAACTTACCTTCTTTAAGAGAAATATTCCATAAAGAAAAAGCAAGCTGAAAACTTCGAACAAGTACCTCATGAAAAGAATTCTGCAAAGGCAAAATAATTTTTGAAAATTATTTTAAAGAAAAGAAAGTCTCATTCATTACAAAAAAAAAAAAAAAAAATCTTAAACACTCTCCTCCATTTTAACCTTAAGATCCTAAAACAATGCTAACACCATCATAAAAAAAGGACCCCTTCAAAAAGTAAGTTTCTTTGAAATTATATAAGAAAAAAGAATACAATCATGGATCTAGTTATCACCTTTTCTCTGGAAACAAGCAACACCAGAGTGTATGAATTAGCAATAGCTTCATAATTTGTAGGCATATTTCCAGGAGACATAGATTGTACCCAAATTGCTGATAGTAATCGATTTATCTGAAGCCTACTTAGTCTAAGAGCAGTAGTCTCCTACAAGTGAAAGTTGATCAATATTGTTAACCATAAACATTAACCTCAAGAAATAAAAGAAAAACAAATAATGGATATAATGGGGTTCATAATACCCATAGAAAAATATTAGGAAATTGAGAATTACTCATCCAACTACTACGTTTCCAATTAGTTGAATACAATATTGTAAGACTATATAATCAAAATCCCTAGTGTAAAAGGAATCAATGTGAGACTCACCGAGTTTCTATCTTTTTTTGTGGCAACTTCATCCACTTCAATTTGTAGGGGAGGGTTATTCACACTAGACACCCGATTATGCATTGACTTGATCTTTCTTACAATCCCAACATTATTATTAATTGGTTCAATCTCTCCAAAAACATTTTCTTTGTTATACTCGATAAATTTTTCACTTGAAGAACGTTTGTTCAGTTTTAACTTTTCAAATAAGACAGCTGAAGAAGAGAAAACAGATACTGTTCGAGATAGAGTTCGTGGAACACTTGATGGATTACGATGAGAAAGAGACATGTTTGGACGAGGCAAGATTGTGCTTGGCACAAGAATGACAGAAAATATACGATGAGCTACCGCTCGTGTTTCATGATCTGGATGGACCATAGCCATGAGCAGTTGATGAAACAAGGTATCTGGGAATACCTAGTGTGAAAAGTATCATTTTAGTGTCAAATTTATCCATAAAAATCAAAGCAATAACCATAGGAGAAAAACAAAACAAAAAATATTCACTATTACCTTATTATGATATAAAGCATTTGGTAAAGAAGTTACAATTTGGGCAGTTCGATTTACAGCATAAATTGTGGTTCTACATGTTGTGGTGGTAGTTGTGATGTTCTCTAACATCACTGCCATAACATCAAGAATGGGGTCTGGTTCTCCAACCTATTCATAAGTATAAAGGTTAGATCTCTTCCTTTACTTCTATGATAAATAAATTGCATGAAAATTGCATTTATTACAGCTTACAACCAAATTTCAATGACAGAGAGAAAAAAAAAACCAACAAATTAATCATCCAAATCATTTATGGTTCAGTAACTTTGCAAAGTTCAAGTATAAGCTCGACTGAGAACTGTGGGAAAATTGGTGTACCTTATTTGACAACTTTACAAGGCACTTATCAACAACTTTTCTGAAATTTTTATTCCAACTTATTACATCAGGGGCCATATTTGACTCGTCTAGGGAACAATGTATGCACTTCCGCAAATGTCTCATCATGTCACTTACTGCACCAACTATTGACACAGAAGGTTGAACCTTTGCATATTGGGCAAGTGAAGTGGTAACCTCAACAATGTCAAGTTGCATATGAGGTTCTTTAAGGACAGTTTTATGATCCATATGCTTAATTAACATTGATAGCAAAACATGTGTGTTTTTCTCTGCAACAAGATGAAGAAAAAAGCAATAACAGTTAATAAAACCTTATATGATGGAAGATAACTCTATTGTCAAATAAGAAAGTGAGTGTACCAGAATCATCCATCAAAAATAGTATATCCTTTAAAACAGAAAAGGCAAGACCATGATTTATAGACCATAAGTTTCCATTGTCGAAGTACCGGAATATAGATTCCATTACACGACGTAAAGTAGTCCCCTCCTTGGTTAAGGTTGCCATGTTATGTAAGCAAACCCCAGACCAAAAAGAAGGATTTGAGTCATCTTCCCTGCATAAATTTATTAAAGGTTAAGATAATGAAATAAATAGAAATGACATAAAATTATTTAAAATATTTTCTACTGATAAAAATAATTACATTGCTACAATCGTTTCGCCTTTATCGTTAACAACTTTTCTCCACGAATGGTTTCTCCTTTTGACATCAAGCAAAGGAGAGTTTTGATCCTCATTGGCCATACCATCTTGGAACAATGTATTCTCAACGCCATGTTCCTCATGATCAAGATGCGCTAAATTTTCTTTAGGAACTTCATAATTTTCCAACACAACAGACACAATCTACAATGAAATTGACAGAAATTTTTACAGTAGATCAGAAAAAATATTTTATATCTTTTATTCATACTAATATAAATAACATATAAGAATACATCACAACTAAAAATTCAAACTAAAAATTTCAAGTATAGGGAAAAAAAATACAGAAAATTAGATATGGCATTGTGTTTTTTTTTTTTACGAAATGAAGATAAAATGCAAATTGGAATACACTTTTTGACGAAATGAAAGACATAAGATGGCTACAAATTCTACAGATTAGACAAAGTATTAAATTATATCATTATGTCATTAGTCCGTAAGACTATGATAGTTTGCTGGAAAAATTTTAGAGGGAAAAATGATTAGTATGAGTCGAAAACAAATATTTTTCTTATTCAGTAATTAAAAAAACAACAAAAAAGGAAATATGTCAATCCTCATGATAACATACACTACTAAAAATTCTTATTTTTGATGGGAATAGTTTTTCAAAGTTTTTTAAAAATTGTAAGAAATAAGTTTTTTATAAATTTAAACAATTTTTTACAAGAAAATTGGTAAAAAAAAAAACTAGTTTTCTAGTAATGATATTTCTTTGCTACCGTGAACAAAATGAAAAGTGTAATAGATTATTTTTGAAAATATTATCATAAATAATTATTTGTTTTCATGTTTACAATTTTAATATATATATATATATATATATATATATATATATATATATATTATAGGTACGATTTTAATAAAATGTTATAAATATAAAAATGTTTATATAAATTAAATAAAAAATTTAATATTTTATTTATTTATTTGTAATATGATATTATTTTATTAATTTAATTTCAAATAACTTTAGAAAAAATAATTTTAGGATAAATTTTTTTTATAATTATATATCAAAATATATATTATTAAAAAAATGAGATATTAATTTAAAGGTATTCCTTTAAAAATTATTTTATTAATAAAAATCAATTAATAATGATATGAATAATTTTATATAAATAATTAATTTTAATGAATTATTTATTAATTTTAAAATGAACATTTTTATTTTTTTTATTTTATTTTTCTCTCAAACTAACAAGAATATTTTTCACTCCATCCATTTATCTTTTCTTTCTTTCTTTTTATCTTTCTTTCCTATTGAAAATACCCTAAAATTTGAGATACATAATTTTTTACTCCCGAAAAAAAAACAAATTTAATCACTTAAATCTAATAAAATATAGTTATAATCCTTAAATACTAAATTTAAAGGATTATTTAAAAAAAAACATTTTACATTTTCAAATTTATTGTTTAACAACTAACATCATTTATTTATTTTCAATTTCGGGAGATAGTTTTTTTTCCAATTTTGGAGACTAAAATCAAAATCACTCAAAATTTCAAGAACTAAAAATGTAATTAAGTCAATATTATTTACATTATATGCATATATACAAAATAATAATTTTTTAATGTAACAAATTATTAATTAAAAACTTATCATTATATATATATATATATATATATATATATATATATAAAATATTCAATCATAGTGTAGATTCATTTAGAATTTATTTTATTGATTAAGGATTATTACTCTTCAAATTATATTTGTTTGATATTAAATAGGTTCTACACTAGTCATTAAATTAATCTTCAATTCAAAATTCAGTTACTTTAAATATAAATTTTAATGCAGTATCTAATTATTTGATGACTACTTTTTTTTTTTTTAAATTAGAGATCATTAATTCAATCTCCCAAAAACAAGTTTTCTTGTAATTATTTATTATCTTATAATTTTGTGGTACACCTATATCTTAATAAACTAATACAAAGTATTTGAAAAAAAAGGAAAAAAGAAAATCACCTAAAAATATAACTCCTGTCTAAATGAAAATTGCACTTACATCACTACCAAATATTACACGTATAAGTATTCATAAGATCGACAAAGTAAAATTTACTTACATTATCAAATTCAACTGATATATGAGAATTTTCACCCATAAATCGAACCTATAAAGCAAAATAGTGATTTCATTTAAAAGGAAATATATATAAATTACTATAAAATTGAAGAAAGGAAAAAAAATTAATGAGAAGAAAAGGAAATACAACATACGTAAATACACATAAGAAGCATGCAAACCGAAAATAAGAGAACGACAAAAGAAACATAATTCTACATATCACAATATATTTTATACAAGGACTTTTATTTTTTTATTATATATAAATAGTTATTATGATATTATTTATTTGAATAAAAGAATAGAAAAAGAAAATGTGATTTATATAATGAAATACGTAAAAAATAAAGTAACATTGAACAAATATTTTAAAAATTAATTATATAAAAGTATGGATACTAGATTTGCATTAGGCATTACCTTAGAGCTAAGGTAAAGTTGAAGCAACTATTGAACCATTAAAGTAAAAATGGATGAAAATGGTAGAGGAAAAATCGTAAATGGAAAACCTAACAAGACCAATGTTGATATGCCTTTAAAGGTAATAAGTAGTTTAACCTTTGAAAAGACAAAGCAGAAAAACATTGATGTTTATTGTAGTTGTTTTTTTCACTGCTCAAATAGAAAATTGGATGAGACTTTGAGAAGATCTAAGCAATTAATGGTTAATGGGATATAATTGAAAAAAATTCTAAGATTACTCAATGGGAGGATGGATTGATGTATTATCAATTTGACTTTTGGCTCATCAATAGAAGGAATATCATCTATTATTTTATGCTATGTCTACTCCATCACAAATAACGTGTATGTTGATAATATATAGAAATAAAAATTAAGAAGATATAATAATAATAAAACTTATATATAGTTAAATAAAGGAAAAAGTATATTTTTGGTCCCGTACTTTTCAAAAATTTGTTTATACTTTTAAGTAGATCAATATGATCTTCAATTTTTAAAAAATACGATTGAGTCTTTATAGATATATTTATATATATAATTAATTAATTAATTATGATTTTTTATTTAAATGGAGTTGATAAAATAATTAAATACGATTTTAATCATACTTTATACTTAGATTTCATATTCAATAGCATTTTTGTAGTGTTAGAAAAAATTATTAAAGGAAAAAAATAATTTTTTTTTTCTGAAGTTTGAGGATTATAATACGTTAACTTCTAAAATATGAGAACTGAAACAAACTTTACAAAAGTATAAGGAAAAAAATATTTAACCCTTATAAAATAAGATACTTTTTAACAAAGGAAGGCAATTCAACCCAAATCAACGGATACAAAAGTAAATACATAAAGAAACAAATAACATAGAAACATATGAATGAGTTGAACAAAACATAATAGGATAAATTTATACCAAATTCTAGCCTCAATCCATCTAGTTTAGTTTACATTTATCCTAAAGATGACCTAACTTTGTCTCTCATATCCCAAATCCTATGATAAGCCATTACTATACTTAGTTTCACTTTGTTGAATGACTTTAATTTTAAAAATATGTTATACCCCTTTTTTTAAAATATTGTAACAGGAGTTTATTCTTTGTTATCCTTTATTGTTCAAAATGTGATATTCTTTCATCGTATTAATAATATTTTGATTGATTCAGGAACGTTATTTTTAAAGTTATCTAATTTACATTGCAGAGTTCTAAGAAGAAATATATTATCTTGGTTAAGGTTCTAGGTCTATTATTGGCTATTACACCACCATCAATAATCTTTAAGAAGAGTTGGAAAATCCTTATCTCTTACCTATGTGCATTTGCTTTGCTAAGACTACCATCACCAAGATCTCACTAGATACACTTCTTGAAGATTAGTGGTACGCTCTAAAATCTTGCTTTTGAATCCTCTTCCTTCCATCAATCATGTTTTCTCTATCATGGTATAGCAAAAGAATTAACACAAATCCTCTTTTTGAACCTCTTTTCACCCATTTTCACCTAATCCATCGTTCTCACTATCTAATTTATAAGTCTCACTTCCATCTATACCACCTCTTCATGATTCTACTATCTCCCACAATCCACATCATTTCCTTCACTATTGTCCACTACAATTCTTGTCTATAATGTCAAATCAATCCTTTTTTTAAGGTGTTTATATCTAATTTAGTTATCAATTTTATCAAATCTGGGTCTTACCATCATTATTTAATGAGTCTTCCTCAGGAACTTCAGCAATTAGATGTTATCAAATACATTTTTTTATGGGATCTTACCAAAGATGTTTACATGGTCATTTCTCTTAGATTAGGTTCCCACAATTTCTTTGAATATTGCATATTAAATAAGTCTCTCTATTACATTAAACAAGCTAATCACAAATAGTACAAGACATTTTCTATTTTATTTCTTTTTGTGGTTACAAGCAAGCTCAGTGATGATCATAGCTTAGTCTATTCATTGAAAAATATAATTATACTTTTATTGCTCTGATTATATATAATGATATTATGTTGATTGGATTCCCTCACTAAAATTGTTCATATTAAACACATTTTTCATTCTAATTTTTGTATTAAAGATCTTATACTTTAGAAATACTTTTTTAAGTTAAAACTGGCTCCTGATATCTTATCCTAAGCCACCTCTTATCTATATATTGCTTTCATTGAAAACATATACTTGTTTAATCATTGACCTTTTGACAATTTTTAGGTTTCACTTCCTTCTCGATGAATGTAGGGACTATTTAAAAAATACCTAAAGATATGATATGTTTTAGGTTAAACCAAAACTAAATGTTAAAATAATGGTAGAATCATTATATAAATACCATTGCTGAAAGGGCTTTCAAACCAGTTGAACGACTCATTCTTGTCCTTTCATCTTCTCCTGTTTCTTGAGCTAATTGACAAAGCGTTGGGATGGCAGCTTCTAAGTTGAACAAGTAAGTTCCATCAACCTGCAAAATTTATAAAACTGTGTAGGCTAGGCTTATATGTTTTAACAGTTAATACTCTAAAGGTTATTAAGAAATAAAAACTGAATTATGATTTTCAAATTATTGAACTTAAGACTTGTAATTTTGGAATAAACAATGAAAACCAACCTGATTATTTACAAAATCAAATAAAACTTGGCATCCTAGAATTCTCATTTCATCTTCTCCTGATTGATCTAGTAGCGTGTGAATAATACTTAGCAAGCTATTTGCAAACAATGACCTGTCAACAACAGAGAACGAAATAAATGCATTACATGTTTTAAAAATCGCTTAACTTTAAAAGGTTTTCATATGGCAAATCAACAAAATATTAGTAAAAAATACATATGTAAGAATAAAATACTTGATAAAATCCTAAGAACAATTTATTAAAGATAAAATGTTGTTATTAATTACATTTATCAATTCTAATTGTGCACATGTTCAATCCTATATTATTTTTATTTAGAAGATTACTATATGAATTGTTTCTATCACATATACTTGATAAACTCTAAAAAACATATAATATATTCTAACATGTATCTATCAATCCATCTATATAGAAGCGTAATTAAGATAACATAAATATGAACTCACATTTGATCTTTACAAGAAAATAAAAACTTCTTGTAAACGCACATGACTATTTTGGTCGAATGAAAGTTCTCATTTCGTAGTTCCTTGTAACACCTTTGCTCAAGGGCTTGCATAATCTGATCAATTATAGATTACTTTAGTGAACATGACAACAGCCATTATAAGTATTTAGAATTTGAACTTCTCTAAAAATGATCACTAGAATTTACATCCTAATTACTAAACAAATGACATGGAATCATCGTTCAACAAAATCAAGGTATATGGATGAAGAAGAAAGTATAGAAAACAATATTATCCAATAAGATTTTAGAATTTAGAATTTTCAGTTAGCAACTACATTAGTGAACATATATATATGAGCATTTTGTTTAAAGGTTTCACACCTTTGGGATGCGTAAAGGATTTTTGGCAGCATAATCACATAATTTTCCGATTTGTCTATCATTTGGCCCTTGCTCCTGGCAACTCAAAAATCAAATAAAAATAAAAATCAATGTAAGCATTCTGAGAGACAGATACAAATCATGTTTAGTTTTCATTATTTTGCATTACATTCACATAGGCAAAACGCATGTTTTTATTTCTTAAATACGAATGTTAAACTAACTTTCAACTTCACTAACCTACTTAACTAGCCACCTTGAATATGTGCTCTAGTGAATCAAGAAGAAGAAAAGGTGTATGAGCAATGTGAAGAAACAAATCCAATTTTGTGACAATAAATCATAAAGAGATGTTGCAAAGAGAAAAGGGTGAATACAGAAACCAAAAAATAGAAACAACAAACCTGATTACGAGGGAAAATATCAGCAATGAGCTTCTTATACCTCTTAACAGGTTGTCTTGACCTTGCCCTTAGAGCAGGACAGAAGAAACAAAGATTGCCACAAGCAGGCAAAACTTGACGGGAAACAACACCAGAGACCTTACCCATTTTTTTTTTTTCAATCCCAATACCAAAAACCAATTAACTGATGAAAAATGTTACAAAATTTTTACAAGTTTGGTTTAGAGTTTTGCCTTCTTCCCCTTCCACATAAATCTGATTTGGAATGTGATAAGGGAAAGAAAGGCTAAAATATCAAAAGAGCATCCTTTAAATTCAACCACAGGTCTACATGTAGGAAATTCTTTAAGGTGATCAATATGGACCTGAAATGAAAAAACATAACATGAGAACAAAAACGTGACAAAACATTGGAGGTAAATAATCTCAAATTTAAGGAGGGAAAAAGGTACCAGGGTCTGAAAGAGGAGGGTGGTGGGGAATCCCTTGAAACATGAAAAAAAAAAATGTTTAACTCCTTTTGTCGAGGAAAATGAGAAATGAAATGATGTTATGGATTTGATGATGAAAATTTATGTGTGGGGCGTTGTCGGAGGAAAAATTGATTGTAATGAAAGAAAGGTGGAAGCGTGGAGGAAAGGAAAATTGCAGTTTGATGTAACGGTTTGTGAGGGACCCATTTCCCTCCTCTTCCTCTTTCTGATCCTGTGTGGTCTTCTATTTATCCCATTTATTCATTCATTCATTTTCACATCAAACACTTCTCCTTACTTTAAAAATCTTACTAGGCTAACCTTCTATTTAATTAACAAAAAAAAATACTTCATAATTTTCAATTCTCAATTTTCAAGAAGACATGTAATATTTCTTTACAATTATTAAATTATGTGTTTAATTTCTAAATATCATTAAATTTATATTATTGAAAAAAAATCATATTATACATTATTTAATTTTAAAATGTTTATCATTTTAAAAAAAGTTTTTTTTCAATTGATAGTTTTTATAAGCATCCATATTTTTATAATTTTTTATTTATATTTTACTCGACAACTTAAAATTAATTTAACTATTATAACTAAATATTGTATTTAATATAATATTTTAACTTAAAGTGAGAATAAATTATAAGAGATTTTAATTTTATAAGGATTATTTTTTAAAAACAAATTTATATAACTAATTTCTTTTAAAAAATACTTTTAAGATCAAATTTTATTTTATAGACATTAAAAAAATATTTAAATAAGTATTTATTAAGATTCCACTATAAAGCTGGTTGGTAATATAGAAATAGTTTAATAAATATTTAACATGACTTAGATAATGAGAAACTTCTAATAAATTTTTCTAATAAAGTTTATTGAACTAGATAAATGGTACTTTTATTCTATAATAAAATGTCAACCTTTGATCCAACAATCGGAATGAAATTAGAATTTGACTATAATACTAACTAAAAAAATATAAATTAAAATATATTTATACTCTAATATAAAATAGAATATATAAAATTATTTAAAAACTATAAAATATATATATTTAATTAGGTTGAATCAATCCTATCAATGATACATTTTAAAAGAAAAATTACTTTTATCAATATATTTACAAAATCCACCGTTATTTATATGCAATTGTTATTCTCTCTTTCCATAAATTTTATATTTTTATCTCTCCTACTTTAATTTTTATTTTTTTTCTTTTCTATCTCACCTTTGTTGTTTTTTTTTCCTCTCACTTATTCTTCTAATTAAAACTACTATACTGAAATTTAAATAAAAATATGTTAAATAATTTTTTTTAAAATCAACATTAAAACTAAAAAATATCAACTAATTATTTAAATTTATGATGACAGTAAATAATTATTTAAGATGATATAAGTAATTAACTTAAAATTATTTTATCCTAACAAATCAATCACTCATCTAATTATTTATTTATTTTTTTTAATAATTATAACATAATAGTATTTATAATATCTTAAATTTATAATAATAATTTTAAAAAAATATTATATTAAAATATAATATTTCCGGATAATTTAAATATTTTTATTGTTTTAGAAATAATAGAAGACTCGTTCTATCAAATTTTCCTATAGTATTTTTAATTAGAAGAATAAGATAAAGTAAGAGAAATATAATAGAGTGGAAGAGAAAAAAGAAAAAGGACAAAAATTAAAGAGAAATAAGGATATAAATGAATAAAAAAAATAACTATATTATATCAGACAAATTAATTTTTTGTTATTGAATTTTGTGTAGTAATAATTGACAGGTCTAGTTGAATACATACATATATTTTATTTAAGTAATTATTTTAAAAATATATTATTAATGAGATTATTCTAATTGGGCTACAAGAAAATTAAAATATTTTAAAATTATACAAAATCTTAATCAAATAATATATAATTTATGCAATGATATTTAAAAGAAAACAGTATTATATTTCATTATTATAACATTATTGTTATTTTGTAAGTAAAATAAATATAAATATTTCTATTTTCGTTTAGAATTAATCTCAAATAATTCTTCAACTTATTTATTTTTTATAAATGTGAGAATGTTTAGGCTAAAAAAATTCGAAGAGATTTTTTTATTATTTGTTTCTCTTTGATTTTGTTAAGGAATGTTACTTGTAAATATAATTTCGCTACTATTTTACGAACTCTGCTTCTCACATAAATCAACTCCAATATAAATGCTTATAGCAACGACCCTAGAAGAGATATAAAGATATGAGCTTGTGTGTATATACTACAATTTCTCTTATTGTACTCTAATTGATGTTTTGTGCGATCATTCCTCAATTTAATCTACCTAGGAGAGATTTTTTTATTTAAATCTTTTTATCATAAAAAGTTAAAACACTGGTGGAATAAGTTCTTATGAATGTTTTACATGTCTCAGATTTTGGTTGGTAACACAAGCTCCTGCAATTTGTGATTTTTGCATACAACAACAAAGTACCTCGTAAAAGAATGTTTCCTTTTTCATGGTCATCATGCAACTGCTAAAGTGGATCCCAAATTGTAAGTCCACATTGAACCAAAAAGTTTAAAAAGGGAAGTTTCGTTTCTCAATTCATATATAGTTTTGTTGGTAAAGCCACCCAATTGTATTTATACAAGATTGAATCAAATTAACCATTTAATCTATTATCTAATATATTCATACATTGAACTCTCCTTTGATTAAATCAGAAAGGAGAGTTTGTTGGGATATTTGTGACCAATATTAAGTTTATTGAAATACCAAATATATAATCATTGAAAAAAAAAAAGTTAACAAAAATGTACTGATAAATAATATTGAGGCAAAGGTTTATCAGGTAAGAATAATATATCCACCATTATTTGTTATTTGTTTTGAATTAAGGTCGAAAATTAATGGCAGGTTGTAAATTCTAGCAGAACACGTTATCAGGAACAGGCCAGTCCTAATTCTAAACATGAAGAAAGAATGTTTGAGGAAATGACATAATTACCCAACCACTGTGAACAAATCTAGCATCGTCTTCAAAAAAGTATTCACATTCTTTTGCTATAAAAGAGGACAAAACAAAATGATGTTTGAATCACATGTAAGCTCCAGAACCACCACCATGATCCTTCTCAACATGCTCCACAAGGGACACCGGATCTACAAACCCTCTACTACACTTGGGGCATGCATTAATCTTCTTAACCCCTAGTCGGTTCCCATTGCTTTCGTGATTTTTTTGCACATGATCCACCAAAGAAGTCACAGAGGAAAACTTGACACCACATTCAGGGCAACTTTCCTCTTGATTTCCACTACCACTGTTCTGCCCCACACCATCCCTAGCTGCCTGCAAAACTTGGTTAATTTCATTGCTCAATTTTGACATGCTCGCTTCAGCTGATGAACGAATATTATAAGCCACGTTGAGAAAGCTTGAAGTCCAGTTAGATGATGCTGTTGAGGTTAAAATGGGCTTTGGCTCCTCATTTTTACTCCTATTCAAAAAACCCATGAATGAAAAACTTGTCTCCAACTTCCTGGGACCGGAACATTTGTGATCAGAGCCAAACCGGTGCTTCAAACAATGGTCTTCCATACAATCCCTACACTTAACTGTGTTGGAGAATACTAGTAACTCTTTGCATCCAGGAGCAGGGCATTTTCTCTTTGTTGTCACTTTTTCGTAATTTGATGGGTCACAATCAATGTTAACATGATTGTCCCAAGTTATGTTGGGATCTTGATCTGGAATGATGTGAACTCCTTTCGCACAAAGAGGACATATGACAACTTTGACATCGTTTTGCTTTGTGCACTTATGTTCAACATAACCTCGGTGTTTCAAACAATGTACCTGCAAGAAATTAGCAGATAATTTTCACAACATTTGAGGAAAAAAAATCTGAAAAATGAGAGTGTAATTTAAAGTTAGCATTAAAGTCAATTGTAAACCAGAAGAATACTAATCCACAGTTCAACAAGTTGGTTTATTTTATTTATTCTTTTTGAATCACAATAAAAAAAAAAAAAAACAAGTTTATTAATGATAAATTTCTAACAAGAACCTAGATGATCACCCGCATTATAATCACCTAGTTATGTTTCTTTTATTCGTGTACAATATATGAAACTGAAATTAACCTAAAAAAGATGGTGCTGAATTTGACTATGGATGTCAATTTAATTAACCCTGCTAAGCAAAAATGGGGAAATATAAATTAATCAATACAATCATGCAACCATGCAATCAAGGAATGCACTGCAATAATGAAATAGGTAGACATATAAAATAATAAAAAAAGAAAATAAAAAGTAACAGATAGAATTGAGAAACCTGCTCACAGCGATCGCATGTGAAGGGCAAGAAATCAAGCAGCCTGCAATCAGAAACAGAACAATGCTTGCCGAGATTTGGGAATTCTGGAGTCCCCATTGGAATTAAGCTTCACCCAACGCAGAGGAGAGAAAACGAATTCTCTCCCTCTCCCTCTCCCTCTCTCTTTCCTTTCAGAATTTGGCTAGAGAATGTGAATGTGAATGGGAATGGGAATTTGAAGAATGGGTTATGATTTTATGGAGTTGAAAAAGAGCGATGGGCCAACAAACCAGAAATCCAGGAAGGGGAGGGAATAATATCCTCCAAAACTCATATAATCTAATACAATATCTAATAACAAAATATAATTAGCAATTATATAAACTATTTTAATTTCTTTATTTAATTCCAATAATAATATATTACATTAATTAGTTTGTGTTTTGCTGTTTTTTTGTTTTAACAAAATATATACAGGACATACATTAAAAAAAGGTGTGTACTCCATAAATTATAATATTTATTTTAAACTAATATTTTCAAAATATATAAATAATTGATTATCAATCACAATTCATAACATCGAATCAATTGATTATTACGATTTAGAAACTTATTTCAAATATTTGCTTTAAAGAATATGCCATCAAAACTTTAGGCAGAAGCAAAATCAGTTTTATTGCTTTAATTATAATCTTTCAAAAATTAAGAAAATGATTGTCAAATACCAAAATAATTTTAGCGGACTTCTGGGTAACTAATAATGTTTAGTAATTTTGATTTCGATGCTAAAAATCTTGAAGAATCTTCTTCATATTAAAATAACAAAATATGTATTTTTTTAAATGTTATAAAAACAACCCAGTGACCTTAAACAATAATATCTTTGTAAATTAAGTGTATATGAAAATATATAATAAATAACGACCGAATTATATACCACGATAAAAAAAGAATTAACTATTTTTTTTTAATCAACAAGAATTAAACACAAATTGAAGAACTATAATTACTCATATCACCTTACTCAACTGAATCCCATCAAATTATATATATATATATATATATATATATATATATATATATATATATATATATATATATATATTAAAAATATTAAAGGTATGTGTGCCTCCAAACTAAAAAGATGTTAGGTTTTATTTTTTTATTTTAGTTTTTAAAATTGATTTTATAAATTAACTTTAAAAAAAGTTATACAAATTTGTTGGATAATTTAATTTAAAATCCGTTTTAAGCAACGAAAATAATATTCTATTTAAGTTGAATAGATATTATTAATAAAAAAATATATTTTATATTTGATTTGTTAATTTAGAAACAAAATCTTAAAAAAAATTAACAATTTTTTTATATTTTTAAAAAGTAAATTCTATTGATGGTGGAGAATCAATCTCATAAATAATATGTTTAAAAAAGTTTATTTAAATAGAATATTTATTTATCTAAGTAAATGTGTTTGTTGTTGTTATATTTTTTTTTCCTTCACTCCTTTTATGTGTTTTTTTCTATCACGAATTTCTTTATTTTTTGGTTTTTATTCTTTACTTGTATTTATTCTTTTGATAAAACTATTATATTAAAATTTAATAAAAATATATTAAAACAAATATTTTAAAATTCATCTTTAAATTAAAAATATTAACTAATTATTTAAAATTATGATAACAACAAAATAATTTTATTTATTAATAATTATATTTATGATTACATAAATAATTAATTTAAAGTTATTTTATCATAATAAATAATTATTAATCTAATTAAATAAAATAAAATATTTATGCATTAAATGTAATTTTAACTTAGTAATTTAATCGAATTATAATTAGGTTGAGATATGATAACTAATTAGATTAGATAATTTTAAAAAAAATATTTATTAAAATATGACTTTAAAATAAATATTTAAATTCTTTTAATAATTATAACACAATAATAGTATTAATATTTCAAATTTATTATATAATATTTTTTAAAATATAATATATTAAATAATATTATTTATACATCATTTAAATATTTTATTTTTCAAAAAAAATAAAAGATTCACTTTATCAAATTTTAACATATTATTTTTAATTCAAGAATAAGATGAAGTGATAAAATTACAAAAGATGGAAAAACGGAAAGAGAAAACAGACACTAAAAACAACAGAAAAAAAATAACAGAAAAAAAAATAGGAAAGAGAAAAAGAAAATTTATTATATCAGATCAATTTTTTTTATTATTAAATTTTGTATATAAATAATAAATGAATCTAATTAAGTAAATAATTTTTTTTAAAATATATTATTTGTAAAAATAATTTGGACTACGGATGAATCTGAAGTTGAGCCGAAGTTTCTAGACAACAAGAATTAATATTATAATTTTAAATATATGGTATGTTAATATTTTTTTAGAATTAAAAAAATATAAAAAATGAATTAAATAATGTAAAAATATTTTTATAAATAATATTGAATACATTTTTTAATTGAATTTCTTCAAAAATATTTTAAACGTGTTTCAAAAATAATTTTTTATAAAAAATTCATGTTTAAATTATGAAGTCATGAAGTCAATTAATCTAAATACTAAATGGGATATATATTGTGAAGTGTTAAAGGTGTTTTAAAAAAATATAAAAGAAATGCTGACTTAAAGTTAGGAGTAGAAAGAAACGGTGCAGAAAGTGAATACATCCCTCCAACAAAACCCAATGGTTATGGGCTTAAGAAAGATGGGCTTAAAACAGTCGATAATAAAACAGTAATTTTAACCATTTTAAATTTGAATCTTAACTTATAAATACATCAGATAAGTTATTCGAAACAATTTACAATATGAAATTGATTGTTCAATATTTTATGTTTTCCATCATTTAATGATTTAAATGATAATAGTTGTGAACCAAAGATTCACATTATTTCAAATACCAAAAGATTCATCTAGTCCCATTGGACAGTTTTTTTTTTATTATTATTATTAAAAAATGTATTTAAATGAAATTATATTAAACTAGTAGAAACACAAAAATAACTACTAAAATATAATAAAAATATAATTAAAAAATATAATCTAATTTTTTATTTATAAAACTCTTTACTTTATTTTTTTATTTAATTTTTTGTAAATATAATATTTTTAAGTAAAACAGAGGAGGTTAATGGCTTCATTAAAAATATAATGGATACAAGAATCATTTACTCAAAATATAAGAAAAGAAAATGCTTAATAGAAACTAAAAGGAACATGTGTGTATCATTTTATTAAAAATATAAAAGTATGTGGTTATGTTAAAAATTAGGACTAGTGTGTGTTATTTATCATATCTCAGATGAAGTAAATTTATTTTTTTATGGTAAGGAAATGTTATTTGTTTATAATTATAATTGTATAAGGTGGTTTAATATTTCTAAAGACATTGCAGTAGTTTTTGAATATGACAACAGAGTGACATGAAGACTTTGAAGATCAATTCAATGTCATAAATTGATGACTAATATGACCATGCTTATGTTTTCAATCCACATTCTCAAAATCTGCCTCTAACATAAACCCCATAGCTATAGACAACAAATTTTCCTGAACCGAGACAATATTTAGATGAACAATCAACATGCAAACACTAATGCCTGAAACAGTGACAGGTAAACTAATACAAGTGTCATGAAAAAAAAAACTACATTTACCCAAAAATGGAATTACAGAGAACAAAATAGGCGTTTTTTCAAATACATGTCATTCAAGAAAATTTGGATGGTCCATGGTCCAAGCGCTAGAGGTGGCAGATGTGTCTGATGAGTCACATTGAAGGATGTCCCTTGTCTTCAATGGTCAGGTGATCGTACTCATTAAAGTTTCTACAACTTGACAAACCACCCAATTTGAGGCACAGAGGGGAATGCAGAGCTCATAACTCTCAAATTGCTAAAGACATGTAAGAGACAAGGTAGTAGTAGTGAGGAAAACCTAAGGAAAATCTCAAGAGGAAAAACAAACAAAATCACCAGGTTCTTTGGGGGGTCACAGACACAGATTGAACATGAACATGTGACATCACAAAGGACAAACTAGGGAAGAGAAATCAAATAATTTGATGGTGAGGTTGCAAATTGCAATGCAATCCATTAAATCCAAGACCCTCTCCCTGACAAGCTACAAGTCCCATTTCAAACCATAAATTATTAATGAGTTAATGTGGAGTCAGAAGCCTTTGGCCTTCATCTATGTTTTGCACCTCAAAAGTCACACCTGCTTTTATTTTACAAGGAAATCAGTCAAATAAAGCAGACCAACAAAAAAGAAATGCATCATAATAACATAAAAGGACCAAAGCAGCAAAGACAAAAATGACATGTATTCATAACCATTGGAATCATATTTTATAGCTGCAATATTTTCTCTCTTATCAGTAGTAGTTAATGATACCCCACTCACTTTGACACTATTACTGTGTACTCTATACTTGATATTCAGAAACCAGAATCCAATTTTGTGCTGTCTCACTTCCTCATTTTTCTCTTATTTCTTAACTCGCAATAAATCATATGCCATAATAGGTTCACCCTTTTCAACTAGGCCAGTTAAGAGTTCATATTCATATTCAGGGTTGTGCTGGAGTTGAGCAGAATCATCTTTTTCAGGATGGGGAGTGAAATGCAGCCCTTTGTTGAGACACCACACAAAGTGGTGGAACCAAACCGTTATTCTCATAGGTCAATTGAGACACTGGTGGTGGTCATAGCAGTGATCACAATAGTGGGTGTTATTGCAGGAATGATCGCTAGATTGTGTGGCGGAAGGCACTTCGGGGGCAATGGGGAGGATGACATAGAAGGCTGGGTTGAAAAGAAGTGTAGAAGTTGCATTGATGGAGGGCTCCCACCTCCACCTTCTCCACCCGAAGAACCAAAATCAGCACCAGCACCAGCACCAGCAGGGGATGCAAGTAAATGAATCAAAAAGGCTCTTATCAGATGGATTCTATTCTAACACAAACATTGTAAGTCAGTATAGAAGTTGATAAATCCTTTGCTTTGGCTAGCCAAGTGATACAAATGTTGGAGAAAAGTTACATAGCTTTAACTGATGTATAGAGTAGCATTGTGTCAGTTGTAGAACCCAAAACTATTCATGTTAGATTCATCTAGTTATGCTATTGAACTTTCTGGTTTGGTTTTACTTTGTTGGTCATTCATATTGCTTCTTCTTTAAACACAATTGTCCCAGTGAAAGAGCATATTTCAGTTTCCTCAATCAAAATATGTTACAACAATAGCAGAGAAAAGAGGAAAAATAAAGTAGCATATATTTTCAGTTTTTAATCTACCAAATTCCGTTGTTCATTTCATTCAAGTCATCTTTTATTTGTTTGTAGCTTATCTTTGTTGAAAATAGTTGAAGTGATTGTTTAAAAAAAAAAGGAAATCTAGTCAATCAATAACTAAAACCTTCAATGTTCCACCATTACAAGAGATTTGTTTTTCAAATAAGACCCTTTTGTTTATGAGCAAGTAAGTGGAGCGAGTTATCATGAAAAGGTTTAATTTGTGACTACTTTGGCCCCTTAGACTTCACTTTTGGCATAGAATCTGAAATGCGTGTTTAAAGATGCTACCAGTATCATGGCAAGCAATTGGTATTCAACAGTACAAAGCAAAAAAAGCTCTCCATGCCGTTGCTCTATGCCATTAAAAAGCCAAACAAAGTTTCCAAGCTTTCTTTCATTTCCCTTTTGGAATCTTACCGTTGCAACAACTAATCAAATGGATGTGAACTAGACTCTTCTGTATAAGTAAAAAATTATTATTGTATTTTACAACATCTCATGCATTCTTCTGCATCATCTCAACTACACTCTTTAACTTATTATACAAACTACAATGAAACTTTACCTCATTAGATAACAAGTTACAAACATAAATCACAAAAACTTATTCAACATGGTTAAAAGTTAAAGGTTCCAAAATATTATTCTTTAGAGGATCTCTTTTGCCTATTTTGTGTGTGTGAGAACATGGAAAACTGTATCATCTTCTAGAAGCTTTATGAAGTAACTTGCACTCTTCCTGCAATGCAGAGCTTGATTGGAACAACTTATTCCACCCTTCACACCTTACATAACCACAAAAAATGTGATAATGGTGAAAATAGTAACATAATTAAGTACCAATCAAGCAATCTCAAGCATTTGGGCCAAAATGTTTCTTTATTTAATATTTTAATGTTCTAATAGAATCAGATGGACTTGTATAACTGAGCTATAAAATATACATTTTAAGGTACATGAAGTTAAGATCTATTTTCAATGTAAGAAAATATTTTTAAAACAATAAACATAATATCAATAATAAAAAATGTAAATTATATTTTTTTAATTTGTTTTTTAAGTTTCTTTACTTAATAATATATTATGAGTACATAATGATTTTTAAATAAATAAAGAGGAAAAAAAAGCAAGTCATGCACTTTAATCCTTAAACCGAAAGAAAGAAAAAGTAATGTGGTTTAAACTTTATAACGTTTGTATTTCATTTTTTTTAACTCAAACAAAAATTAGAACACTCAATTCAAGGAATTGATTAGTTATTTTATCAAATATTTAAATTTTATATATCCTTTTCAATTTTGAATCATGTATAATTTGTACTTAAAACTAATCCTGATTTTTATACGCAAATTTGGTAGTAGGTTTTAGGAAAAAAAAGTATACGTTATTCTATGTTACAGAGTAAACATGCAACACTTGTATTAGTATATATATATATATATATATATATATATATATATATATATATATATATATATATATATATATATATATATATATATATATATATATATATATAATTTGCCTCAATATTGTTAAACTGGACTGATTAAAGCCCAGTTGGACTAATGGGCAATGATGTCAATATAAATAAAGTTAAGTCCTATTCTTTCTGTACTTCATATTTTCTATCTACACCTTATATTTATTTGAGAAACTCGTATTACTTTTGTTGATTTTATTGAAAGAGAAATTTTGGAGTATTCTAGATTGAAAAATCTGAAAACATTTCAGATGAAAGGATTCCGTATGAAATTCAGAATATAATTTTACTATTTCGAAAAGATTAATCAAAAAAGTTTTTAGAAAACTAAATTAAAAATGATTTTTATGTGCAAGAAGAATGTGTCTAAAGTTAAATCATTAAATTTTTTAAATTAAAAAAATAACCCAAACTAGTATGTTTCTCGTTCTTATTTGATATGCTTAGGCCAATCTAACGTGACCATTCTATAGCAATTTTGTTAACCTTGTAAAGAAAAATCTAAATTGAATTATCTTATTTATCCTTTAATATAAAAAAAATTATTTCCTTCCTAAATTATTCTCAAATTAATGGTTCTATCAATTTCAATCAAAGCAATGTATTTATTATAGAAAAATAAGGTTATTTTAGTTAACATTAAATGATATGCTATATTGCTTCCAAATTCATAGGATGAAATGTTCCATTTTCTAATTTGGCAGCTACTTATCTGTGTCGTAGTTTTTTTTTTTTTTTTAGAATTTTCTATTATGATTTTCTGAACTGTATATTTTACCATTTTTAGGTGCATAATTATTAAGAAGAACTTGTGCTATTGAATTTGATTTTCTTCTTGCAATGTACTACATCTTCTAATAAATCTTAAATTACTTTTAACATTTATATATAGAGGCTTCCCACCCATTATTTGATATGCATGCACATCAGAGAATTTTGCACAGACTTGATAAACCAAAAGAGAATATTTCACTAGTGAGAAAACAAACATCTAATTAATCTTGCGGAGGTTATTCAGTGTCTGTGAAAATAACGTTTGATTATATTATTAGTGTTTGATTACAACTTTTGACCCGTAACAGACATTAAAAAATGATCCAAAAGCATGGGCATATCAGAGATCAGACACATACACACGCTAGCACATAATTTTGGAAGCTATGATCAAATTAATAACAGAATTTTATTGCATAAACATGTGATGTGTCAAATAATAGCAATATCTGCACTTATCACAATCATTGCACAAAGAATCACATTATTATAGCTACAAATCAATTAATCGATGACCTATCTGTCGTTACACAACAACATGATATACATGACTTATTATTTTTGTAGGTGTTGTATGATTCATGTTAACCATGAGAAGTATTTCCATATGGAGGTAATAATATTAGTAGATGCATTTCTCTTTTCTGAATTGCAACGAGGCTTAACGTATCCAAAGTAAGACAATTCAACATTTTTACACCAAGCCTCAGCATCATCTCCTCCTTCACATTCAAGGTCTATGTTCTGCAATGTTATCTCCTGGCATGGAAATTTCTCACTGCAATCAAACTTCACAGCTATATCAGAAGCACTTGTGCCAGTTATGTTCTGGTACCACACATTCTTGATCTGTATAGCAGATTTCTGCAAGTGCTAGATCAAATATATATATGTAATCAGCATTGAATAGTGATATATGATAGTTGGTTCCAATAATAGCAAAAGTTGTTTATCTTTACCCCTTTTTTGCATGGCTTTTTTTTCTTGTCACAGTAATTCTGGTTTATTATTATCGGGTTGGTCACATTCTCCATCTCAATGTTCTGAAATTGGATGTCACTAGCACTACCTGACCCTCCCTACATGTAGGGTAGACCCAGAAGATTGTGAATTTCTCACAAGTCATGTAGCAAGATTAATTAAACTGTACAGTTCAAAATTATTGTTCAAATACCTGCCATGTCTTGATTCTAACTCCATTTTTAGTTCCAAATATCTTGGCTCCATTCACTAGTATTCCTGAAACAATTTCCTTGGATTCTCCAGCCCCTAAGCTTCCAATACTGAAACACCATTGCAATAAAATTCGCATACACTAATTAATACAAAATAACATATGGAAAGTTTTTGACAGTAGTACTGTAAGAGATACTTGTTAGTGATGGGATGCTAATTACCTGATACCATGGCCAGGTCCACAGGTGATGTTTGTTGCTTCTACATTTTTAGATCCATGTACGATAGATATACAATCATCACCTGAAACAAAGATAATGACACTTATATATAGATACTCAAAAACATGAATTTTTAAGAGAACATCTATTTGGTTTTAAGAATATTAAGTAAATGGACCCCTTATTTATGCTTGTAAATCTTTATATCAAAAGAAGACAGATAAAATACTTTAAACTCAACACTAATGTGAAATGATTAACTGTTCTTATACATTTATTTATGAAATTTTATGTTTTACCACTTTGTGGTTTTAGAGTAATAAATATTTGCCAAAATACTTTTCATATGAAAATAAAAATGAAAACATTTTCTCGAATCAAATAGTTGTATTTGGATGTTTTGAGATACCAGTTCCTATAACAGAGTCTGAGATTTGGATGTTTTGCGTATTGGTGACATGAATCCCATCGGTGTTGGGGCTATCCTCTGGTGCAGTCACGTTAAGGCCAGAAACCTTAACATTCTCGGAGTCTTGGAATGAAACATGGATTTGTTGAGCATTTTCTATGCTCAAGTTCTCAACTATCAAGTCCTCACAATTATCGAAAGTCAGAGCCTACAAAAACAAATGAAAAAACATTGTTAACTTAAGTAAATATTATTCACATTAATTTCAATCCAATCTCCTTCATCTTTGACAGAGCTACACACACCGTTGGAGCATCCTTGCAAGGCTGCAAAAGAAAGTAGAAAAATATCTAAATTGATCATCATTTGAATATGACTCATTTTACATATATACTATTACATATAAACAGTAACTGATTAAAATAATATTTGACTTGTATATCTTACTTTCTTTTTGTTCCTTTTGCATGAGTTTTTCCACCATATTTTGCCGTTTCCATCGATGGTTCCACCACCATAAACAAACAGTTTCTTAATATGGTCAAATACAAGCCAGTGTCTGCTGTCTTCCTCGTAATCTGATGGATCATCCGATGCCTCTATGGTTCCAAGAATCTGCAAATTTACGTGAATACTTCATGGTTACTAACAGAAGTCACTGTTAGAGATAGATGTTGATTAATTAATCACTTTTTTTTATTAAAGATGAAGCATAAAAAGGAGGAATAATTAATCACTAGCGCAATTTTCAGTGTAAGTTACCTGCACTTCAATGTTTGGTTTGCAAGGGCCAGAGAATCTGATTGGTTTGAGCAGATAATTCTCCTCAGGCACCCACAGAATTGCTTCCCCAGAAGAACATACCACATCCCAAGCCTTCTTGAAAGCCTGAAATATCCCACAGATCCAATAATATGAATATAATAAATAATGATAAAAATGTAATTTTTCCAATTATGAAAAAACCAAATTAATAGCCACAGTGCAAACTTAAAAAAAAAAAAAAAAAAAAAAACTTTGTTTTGGACTGGGTGAGTATTCAAGTACCTCTGAATCATCAGTATCACCATTCCCCTTAGCTCCATAATCATTGACATTAACCTTTTTGATGGATTCACGCTTCTCAAAACTGTTTGAGCTCAAAACGTTTGTGCTTTGCTTGATCAAGTTCTTAAATAATGTCCCACCATCATCAATAAAAGGTGAATCATGAACATTTATATTAAGTGGGTCCTCTTGCAAGGTTTCATAACAAGCAACAAAAGAAATGATGATAATGGTGAATGAGAAGAAGAGTTGTTCGAGGAGGGCCATTAAATTGCTCTTTGAAAGGTTTGGGACTGTCGTTTGATGAGAATGGGTTTAGTTAGCTTGGTGTGGAGCTACTAGTTGAGGGAACTTGTGTATTTATAGACAAAGAAATTAAAAAAAAAAAAAAGAGGAAAAAAAATATGTTGATGTTATATATACTATGGCTATAACTGTATAGAAGGATATATACCAGATTCAGACGAAAGGATCAGACCAGAACCTTTGACTTTTGCTCCGTAGTTGCATCAAAATGTTCACGTAAGTTTCTGTTAATATATTATGTACATGATGCCCTAAAATATAAACATACGTATATATATATATATATATATATATATATATATATATATATATATTATATATATATATATATATAACTTGTAATTATATCAATGTTTGTATACGTTTAATGGTACTTCTTTTTTTGTTCTTCATAAGTATATATATTCTTCTTGTGATGCAATTACTAAATTTGAATTTGATCTCCTCAAACACCTCCATAGATGCACTCCTTACTTCTTTCATGGTTTAATTGTTTTGTTAATTTACTATTTAAGATTTTTTTTATATGTGTGACAAAATAGGAATTCAAATATTAATACATATCTTATTTTTCTCTAGACATTCATATATATATATATATATATATATAGAGAGAGAGAGAGAGAGAGAGAGAGATTATATTTTACTAATTTATTAAAAACTAATGTGTTTTAAAATTTCTATATATTTAAAAAATTTAGAAAAAACAAATACAATTTTTTTAAACGTTGAAAACATAAAAAGTCTACAAACATATATATGAATAATGAAAAGATTGATTGAAGTGATTATATTAAAATAATTTAGAAAATAAATTTCAAATTATATATATATATTTGTTTGTTTAAATAGTCATAACAAGATGGTCATTTCTTTCGAATTTTTCTATTGAAAAAGGGTTTTTTAAATAGTTTAACACCTTCACCATACACTAACAAAAATCAGTTTAAAGTAATATAATAAAGTGTTTTTATTTTATTCAAAGGCCTAGAAGTAATTAAGAAAAAATATAAAATTTCTTATATTTATCATGAAGAATATATTGACTTGAGAATATTATGACAAGAATTAAGAAATTTGGTATAAGTTATAGTAAAAATAAAAAATAAAAATAAAAGAGAGAGAGAGAGAGAAATATATTAATCAATATATTTTGATTTGTACTTATTTAATTTAGAGGATTGAATCGACAGAAATTTAAAGTTTTTTTTCCTATTATTTCTAGCATCCAAATGGGTATTAAAATAGAAAAGCTTGAAAATACGATTATTTTCCTTATTTTTTTGTGTTAATAAGTAGCTATGATAATATGCAATGTGGTTTAATCAACAAGAATAGTTCTTCCCTTTAGCTCATTCAATCATTTTAACGAAATTGTAACGTGTATAGATATCTCCATATTTTGGAAAATTCCTAAGAATTAGGAAAAAAATAGTAATTGATCATGCATGAGAGGCTTGCCCATATTGATTAATAGATCCATGCATATCCCACACCCCACACATAGCGTATTAAAAGAAAATATAATGAGTACTGGTATTGAAATATTTGAATATTCCAGCATATTTTCTACTAGTAATCATATTGGGTTTTAAATAGTTAAGATGGTTGCGTGAGCTTGAATCTTTTATGCATTATTATTCTTTTAATTGTGAAGTAGAAAACATTTTACACCATTGGCATTGGATACGAGCACTCGATCGTGACATATATAGAGTGTTAATATTTGATTGATTGTATCATGTGTAGTTGCTGTGTTAAGTAGCATATGGTGATGAAGGTGAACTATGCAACCCAAAGAAACACTTGTGAAAACGAGCATGTATACCTGAAACGTGTGATCTAGGGTTTCCTTCTTGCAATGGTATATTTGTTAGCATTGTTATCACAAAATAGCTTTAGGTGTCGTAAAATGCTTGAGAAGATGGGTGTTGATGGCTTTGGAGTAGAAGACATTTCATTTTGAAACATAGCATCAACTTATTGTGGCTAAAAGTTTCCTTAGCTTTTGTCATCGTGTTCATGCCATGATGAAATGTTTGACCTCAAATTCCATCTCTCCGCTCTATGCATGAGTATGGTAGGGTTTAATTAGTAAGAATTATTGAACAAGTAAGTAACCCATCTATCTGAAGGGATTAGCAACTTAATTAACTAATCTAACATGTAACTATTTGTATGATTTTTTTATTCAACTTTAACAAAAATAAAGATTTTTTTTCTATCTCGTAAGACGATGAAATTCAACTCTACAATATAGTTTTTTTTTTGTTCTTACTATCAAAGTGAATTTTATCTTAATTATATATTATAAATATATCTCTAATTAATCAAATTAATGTGAGGTATTTTTATTCTTGAAATTTACTTCCTGATTTACCTTCTAGTTATAAACAGGCAAGTTCATTGTATATATACTTTAAATTTATGTCATTATTAAAAATATGAATTAATCAATTAATTATTATTATTATTAGTATAACTAAACAATAAATTTGAATTTTTAATAAGATATACAATATTATTAGCTTTTGAAGTTTTCGTATCCAAAAAGTGTTTAGAATTATAAATTAATTTAATTATGTGATTTTGAAAAGTTTCAAAATTAATAGATAATATAAGGAGTTATCCAATTTAGTGAATAATAGAAAGAATTATCTAATTTAGTAAATAATATTAAAAATTATCTTTTGAAATTAATAATAATTAACTTGATAGAAATTAGTTATATAAAAGAAGTAAGAATTATTTCTCATGTATAAGATTTTTTTACTATTAACTATTAGAAGGTATGAGAGAAGAAAAAAATAAAAAAATAAATTGAAAAAATGAGAGTGAAAAATAATCATGATTTTTGTCTTTTGTTAGAAAAGGTGAAGGTATGGAGCACAAAATAATAAGATGTGATAATTTGGTACACAACCACCTTATTTACCATATTTTTGGCAACATGACATAAGTGATGGTATGTAATCCGTATTCTACCGTATTATTCTACCGTATTCTTGTCAGTAATCCGTATGGTATGTAAAGCGAAAGAGAAATTATGAGTTAAGGATTAATTTTATAAAAAGAAAGAGAAAAAAATCTAATTAAAATTATTATTATATTTTATTTTAATTTTTATGAATTGAAATTTTAAGAAGATAATATTATGTCAATTTTTTTAATTAACTAACCCGCATAACCAATATATACGCACTTGTGTAAGATGGAATTAAGATTTTTAATCCAAAACCTTGAGAGAAGTGAATTTGTCTAATCCCATTTTTTACAAACCAAACAAAGACTAACAAAAATTGGACAAATCAGCCTCCATTGTCATCTCTAACAAGGAGAATAATTACTTATTAAAATAATTATATTAAAAATAAATATCAAGAATACCTCTTAATTTGAATCATCTGCTCTATGTGAGTAAATATATTTTTTCTGCATGTTATGTGTCATCTTTAGAACACAATGTTTTCAAGATAAAATAAGCAGTAAATATGCATACATCAATTAATATCTTCCATTAAACTTACTTCATTAGTCATACTCATGCAATGTAATAGATTTGTATTTTTTTTGTTTAATTTTTAACTTTAATTTATTTAAATACAGTATAGAAGTTTTTATCAAGTTATCACGTGATTTTTAATTTTTTTTTTCAAAATTATATCTTTATTGTTTTTATTAACTATTCGTTTACTATAATTAATTAGTGGTTTTTACTCCGGTTTCACTCTCACCCAAAAATCTACGAATTTATTTGGACAATACATTGGGCCTCGTGTACGTGGAGGAATTTAATTGGTGCGCTTGTCAGCATAGACGAATTTCTAGGAGATAAATTAAATAAATTTTCATAAACTAAAATTGATTATTTTGCCTTAAAAACTTTTATAAGATAAAGTAATCAAATAAATTTAATATTTAATTTTATTATTCTTATTATGTAGAAAACTTTCATGTTATATTTTGATACAAAAATTCGTGTTGAAAAAAAGTAAAATACAGAACAAGTTCTAAAAATAAACGAGACCTTAACATCAGAGATTTTTCATGCTGATGTGAACTTTTTATTCAGAGAAACTAACACGGTACATCCTTGCGCAGACACCATTATTTATTCCTCTCCCCTACTCATGACAGTACTCTCAACTACATGCATTACAAGTTACAAACAAAAGCACTTCCCCACCCCATGCCTCCTACTACAACATGGCTAGTCTAGAACTCAGTTATTGTGATCAACACATTTTGGTACTTACACCACCTCCATGACCTCAACAATTCCCTCAATCAGTCAATGCTAATTACAGGAACACCCTCTTCCTGACACAACAAACCAACCAGGTCTTCAACAAAGGACTCAAACTTGGATCTCTATTGACCATCTGTACATCTCCTCTTGAGGAACTGGGATGGAGAAGGTTGCCAATCCAGTCTCTGAGTCGTAGTTGAAATCGGTTTCAATGCCACCTACCACACACTTCAGTGGGCGTTGAGAGGAGTAAACTCCAAATCTGCCTCTTCCCCTCACTCTAAGAGCAATAGTTGCTGTTGCTGCTCGGTTAGGACTGAGAGAAGAGGTTAATTCTGATAACATCTCACCAGCAAACAGTTCTGGTTTGCTGTTAGAGGCTTTCTGAATTTCAACCACCTCCACAGCTCCTCCAGTGTTGAACATATCCAGTAGCCCTATTGCTGCAAATGAAATACTTGGTGCTATTTCCTGTTCAGTAAAACATTTGTCGTTAAGCATACATCAAAGCCAGCCAGAAAATCTAAAACCCAAAGAAACATCATTTAAGCTGATAGTGGATCCTCACATGGATTGGACAGAAATGGAAAAGTTCAAATTCAAGAACTTTTAGTGTCACCGGAACTGAAACCCCCTTTGGTAGCCGAATCACCTCACCTGAAATAAGGAGATGTGAATTCATCTTCTATTACACATCCTCTTGTATATATTAAAACTAAACGTTAAGTGATTTCCATAAAGTAAATTAATAGTACCTGATCTGTAAGCATAAACAATTGTATCTCCAACCCATTCAGCACCTGCTACTTGGGTGATGAGATCAACATCAGAGGCACAGACAGAGCTAGTTAGTGTACCAGGAGATGTATCATGGATGCGGGTTTTCTTCTCTACCTTGCACCACCCTGCACCTTGGCAGTTAAATACACCAACAACTCCAGAGCATTTGTTCATGTTCCAGATTTTGAGCAAGCTGAAAATTGTAGTTTAATTAAATTACTCACCAATTTATGTCTATGGAACATAGCCATATAAAGAATAAAAATATTAGAATTAAGTAAACAAACCTAGTCCTATCTCTGGCTGGATCAACAAAGAGAGAATCACGAGTTGGCCTGCCTGGTAACTGTGCTCGGAGAACCGAACCATCAGGAAGAATCAGCTTCTTGAGAAGATCAAAATTGTGGTTGCCTGGCTTGTCACTGTTAAAAAACCATAAATAGAAAATGCATTACAATTGTGCCAATTTCATGTAATGAGAAAAGTTGTGCAATGAATGAACATCATTATACCTGACATAAATTGGACATCCACCTATTGCACGAGCTGCAGCATGATATTCTGCTGCAGGGTGTAAACTCTGAAATTACAAAGATCTTTTTGTTAACAAGAATATTTATAGCAAATTGAAAATTTTCCAGAGGAAAAAATAGGCACCAACTAAAATATAAAAATTGAGATCAATGCACAGTTCTACTTACATGAAACATGTCCCAATCAGGTTGCATGAACTCCCCAAGGAAAAGTGAGTTGTATGCAACAGATGAAATATGGATGGTGTGAGAAGCAGGATCACGAGGGTAGAAATCATCAGAGGCTCTCACAACAGCAGTCTGCTTGGCGCTATAAAGCCCATCAGTGTTGTGACACATGCATGCAATGCATCCATTGTCAGTGAAGTTACGAGCAATGGAAGCCTCAAGCGCGTGATGATAGCTGCGTGTAAGAGAGACTCTTCCACCATGTCCGGCACCAAGGGTCTCAATGATGTTCTGCACATCAACCTTCACTCCATCCACTCCACATGAAGCCAAGTAAGCATGGAGCTCATTGTAGAAATTGAAAACCTTCTTTGGGTGCACTAGGCCTAGGCCATGTACAGCCAAGCTGTCCATGACAATGTCTGGCTGGTTTCCTAGCACACCTGGTGACTGCACTGGATATGCCAAGGCAGTGTCATAATGCTCCATGCCAGTTGCTGCTGGCTTCACTCCACCCCAATAGCCAGCTAGTGCATGCCATACATACACATTTCTGTCCACCAACAGAGGAACCAATCAAGAATTTAGAAACTTAATTAGGCAAGCTATTTGGATACAATTCTTAATACCAAAGCACTTACAAAGAAAGAATACGCATCATATCAAAATTTATTAAAAATTAGTAAAGGATCTCAGATCATACTTCACGTTGTGATGCTGCTTTACTCCATCTACTAGATGCTTCAGACCTGATATCTGGTCATTGCTCTGTGTTTTCTTCTGAAATTTAGTATTCTCTTTAATACCAGTCAATCTAGTAGCAAACCTGAAATCAGCGTAATTACAAGTGATTTAATCAGATAAATTAAAACTAATAATTAGTATTCTATTGAACATGAGTACTGTTAGAATTCTTAATTGAGATAATTATTGAAATTAGCAAAATGTTACTAATTAGTAATTACAGAAACAGAGAAATCTTACTGTGCTCCTTCTTGTACAACACAGTCAACATCCTTTTGTTTACTTTCAATCTGTTGCCAGCCATCATCTATGATGAGGAACCGTGGTGGTGTACCTCCCTCAGATAGACTGCAATTATATTGAACAATTTTTAGTGTTCTATGAACATCATCTTCAAAATTCATCTCTTCTTCAGTTATCAGAAACATGCTACCCAATTTCTCTCACAGCTTACCTTTTCAGGCCTTCCTCAACACCCTCAGCTGTGACATCAGTATAGAAAGCATCCCATGTGCACCAGCCAAACCAGTCAAGAAAAGATGGCAACTGCATAAAACCAACAATAAAAGGTTACAAGATCAGGTATATACTAACTTGGCATAATAGCTAGAGCCATCAGTATACGGCGAGGACGAGGGTCTTACCCTTTTCTTCTCACGATGAAGAAATGTTTGCATGTAGTTTTCCACAGCCCTAGAAAGAACAGAAGTAAAAGGAATCAGTCAAATAAAATTGTGAACATACGATTCCAATGTTCACCAGCTGAAAAATAAAATTTTACATGATGCCAATATGGCAGATATGCATTTTTTTTTTCTCAATTTAGAAGGAAAACACAAACGGGGGTGCCTTACTTGACTGCTTGATTGATGACTTCAAATGGGTTGGTCCCAGCATGCATGTAGACTAGGTGAAGGCCTTGATCAGTCTCAACCGCGTTATCCCCTGCAAAACCATACCACATACCAAAAAGAAAAGGGTTGTTTCGGTTCTTTGGGACGCCATGCTATACATATATATTTTCTCCAAAGGACCAAAGCTATAAACTCCATTTGTTTGATTCAATTGATTGATAGTCATCGAGAAGTTTATCCAGCTCAATTCAATTCCACTAATGACCGCTCCACCCCTTAAAAGTATGGCTGAAGGGAAGGAACTGAATTACCAGCAGCAATGGCACTAAATTATGACACGATAGAAGACTTCCATTTAGCCTTCACCACCAAAACATTTGCAGGCCAAGAGTTACTCACCACTCTCGAAGCAAATCTCTATCTCGTTCTTGTCATTTCCTTGAAGAACAGCTCGGAAAGGACCTTCTAGGAGAGGAAGGAAGACAGTGTAGATGGTTGGAGAATTCTCTCCATCCACTTCACTCTCTTTGCTCTCAATAAGCATGAACTGTGTTTCCAGAGGAACATCCCTCCCACAAGTTCCCATTCTCTGAGTCATCCACCATAACTTGAACCGGAAACAACACATGAAGCGGAGCTCCCTATACAAAGGGTATATCAGAAATGAGAAATTAAAAACACACCAATTCATCAAGTGTCAAATCCTATACTCATGGTTACAGATCAAACCACACCATAGACCATAGTTTAACTTGTTACTGTCAAAATACCAAGATTATATACTTGAGCAAATTGTATGGACCGTCATTGTAAATTATAACAATTTCGTTATTTTCCATGACAAATTGAAAATAGAACATGGTGGATATGATAAACATGTGAGTGTAGACAAGCAAGAAGAACTTACTCTAAGACACCGATGGGAAACACATGGAGACTTTTGCTATGGGAAGCAGTAGCACCAACAAAAGCACCAGTCACAAGGCCACTTCCAGATCCTGGAGTCAGCACAACGTTGTCCGGTACTCCGGTTAGAATGGTCTTGCCATGAACAACCAATTTCCTATCGTTGACGGAGATCTTAGGTGTGACAGTCATTTTCGAACACTTCAGCACTGTATCACCATAGCAAAATAACGCAAGTTATTACATTATTAAAATTAAAATTCACTGCATAATTTACAAATATTGAATGGTAGGCCTCTGAAAGCTAAAAAAACTACAGAAACCGATTTTTTCTATACATTAATACGATACAGTTTTAATATTAACCTAGTCTAAAATTGTTAAAGGAGTTTTGTAATATAGACCTAGTGGCTTATTATGATGATGATGATGGTGGTGGTGGTGATGGATGCTAAAGTTTAAGCACACGTTAGATAAATTGCGACGTGGTTCATGTGAAGGAGGAATCCACGTAGGGGACTGCAATGATGTTGTCCTTAGCATCATCTTTTTAACCTATACCCCAAAAATTGGAAGAAAAATAACAATCAAACTCTAAATAAACCTATAACGTAGAGTCCTTTCCTTTTTCTGTGTCGTTAAGTGCTGTTATGCTTTGTTGGTATACGTCTTACCAATTCCGGGACTCTATTGGTTAATGAAAAATCGACAGAATATTAAGCACGAAAGTGAAGTTAGAACATACTAAAAACTAAAACAAGATTTCTTCTGGAAATAACATTTTATAATTAATGGGTATAGGTTCTTTTTTGTCCTTTTAAGAAAGCTGAGTTGCAGCAAAAGAAAACAACATCAGAAATCATTTGGGGTACTGGTTAATCGTGTAGTTTCCGAAAGACACGAGGGCAATCTTGTCAACAAAAAGAAGACAACTTTAAATAGAAACTAGAAAGATCTAGCGAGACCCGACGTTGTACTTTGTCTTCTCCGACAAAGGTAAAAGTTCTTAATTTCCGACACGCAATCATTTCATAAATCTCCTCCTACACAACGAAATATGAACTCACCAAATTACCGTCACGAGAAGGTGAAAATGAAGGAACAATGAACTCAGGAATTTGGAGAAGAGAAAAAGTGTAATCCTATTCCAGGAGGTGAAGGTCCTCCAATGGAAGAAGGTGGAGAAACTGAGAAACACACTCAGCTCAGGGTTGAAGATTGATCACTCTAGCTGCTCAAATTTTGGTCTGAGATATTGAATGAACGCGAACGAAGGTGGCTTTTATAGCGTGCCCGAGGCTTCGCGTGCATCAAGATTCTGACTCGTGGAGTGTCGTGAGCCGTTGGATCCCGGACATGGTGACTTGATGTAGAAAGAAAGAAGATGATTGTGGTGACAATGGCGGCCGAAAAAGACGTTGATGATTACGTGGACAGATGTGATTGTGATGTGTTGAAGCTGGATTCTTGGAACATTGAATCCATCTAGACAATTCTGAGATAAATACCTCAAAATTGTATAGATTTTGGCTCTCGGGAAAATAAATATCAATCATTGCATGTAAATTAATAGATTCCAATATTCCAATTGGATAATATTCATATATAATAAAAACCGGAAATTTTTTATGCAACATTTATGATCATGTTTAATTTAACCACTGATTGAATTAGGAAACGTAAAACAAAGAACTGCTGTTGTATATGCAATTATTTTATATTTTTAACAAATTTTATTCATTATTGGTTTAAGAATAATAGTTTATTGAAGGTGTTTTTCCGTTTATTTTTTATTAATTTAAAATATGAATTTATTGTTAATATACTAACCACTATTAATTTCTAAAAGAATGTATATATGTTACAGTTGAGAAAAAAATAATGTCTTAAAATAAATAATTTTGCTAATTACTCTATTAAAAATATTAAAATAAACTACTAAAAATTATTGTAACAAAAACTAAAAAATGATACATAACATATTTTATACTTGGTTACCCTATGGGAAAGGAAATGGCACGGAAAACTATTGGGTAAGTTTACATAGCTGGAGAAAAAATTGAGTGGAATTAAGAAGATGTTGGAAATTGCACTCAACAGATCTCAGAACTGTTCTTATTTATGACCAATTACCAAAAACATGTACTATTACCTACCTACCTACTGTAATGTTTTATACTTAGAATACAAATAAAAATGTTTGCTATTCAATTCATAAAATGGAAATCCTAACTACCGCCTGGAATCTTTTTTTTGTTTCAATTTATAGTTTTAGATTTTTTTTTTCAACCGTTTATTTATTTTGTTTTATTTAAAATTTAGTTTGGTTTTGGTTTTTTAAATTTTAAAAAGTAATCTTTTTAAATTTAAAAAGAAATGTTATTTTAATTTAAAACAGTTTTTTTAAGTTTAGTGATTAGATGATAAAGTTATATATTTTTTAATTTATGGACTAATTTATTTTAATTATCAGAATCAGTTTTGTTACAATTTTCAAGATTAAAAACAATTAAACCGAGACAACATTAGTTATTATTTTCATTATATTTTAAACCCAAGATAAAAATACGTTTATATATTTAATATGAATAAAAAATAAAATAAAAAGACTTATTTAAAACGAAGAGTTTAATTTATTTATTGATAAATTTTAAAAAAAGAAATTAAATGAAAAAAGAAATGTTTTGATAGGCCAATACATTGTATCTTAATTGTGATTGAAACCCCCAAATATTCGCATGTCTTGTTCACTGTTTGGAAACAACGTGATAATGAGCGACAGCCTTAAAGGCCGAAAGTTACGTCATTATTCAAATTTGGGTGCACACTTTTTTCCTTTTCTGAATGTTGAAATTGTCTTATCAGAATTTATAACTCCGAGACTAAATAATAAGAGTTTTATATGTTTAAATATTTAAAATATAAATATACCTTACAAAAATATATCACTTTATTAAAAATAACGAATAACATATTTTGAATATTACTTTTGTTTTGTCCATTATTCAATCTATATCTAAAAAACCTACTTTTTAATATCTCGGACCTTCATCATGGTTACATTGATCTTTTCAAAATATAAAATCTACAAAACCTCTTATTGGATAAAGATTTAATGTGTGGAGCATCGAAGAACACTTAGAATGTTTTGTTAGTAGTTGAGTCGATGTATCAAAGCATGAGACCTCAAAAAAGGTTCAATGTAACCACGTCAAAGAATTCCCAAACATTTACACCGTGTTTGTTTCAATGAATGAATTATTTTCGATGAAAGGAGGGAGTAAAATTGTATAGAAATGGGTGTATTTGTGAAAAAAGAGGGTGCAGGATCATGTATAATAAAATACCTTTTATATTGTGAAGAAAAAAGGTGAATGGGTTATTCTTTTTTCTTAATAATTGCATACAACTTTTGAAGAGTGTAGAATTACTTTCGCTACACTTACAACTCTTTAATTTGTCAACTATCTCTCTACAAGATATTAATAAACAAAAATTAAATTCTGAATTTCACAATATTCCTTATCATATATATTGAATATTGTCATGGATCTATTGAGCTTTTAAATAAATTTATGAACCGTTTAGTCTATAAGTATAGTAATTGAAAAGGTTTGGACTTCTCGTACTCATATTGTATAAGGAGAATGAAGATATGTTTGTGATTGAACTTTGTAGTGGTGTGGACGATTAAGGGATCCAGCGAAGAAACCATAATAGTGTTCTAAAGGTAATATTTTTCACCTAATCGTGTCTAGTCCAATAAGTTACACGATCACTTTTCTTCCACAATTGCTTATGATTTCATTTATTTAAGATGTCAAATTACATGCACTACTACAAAATATGTTTTTTACGTCGTCATTTAACGTGGTTATAGCTGAGACAACGTAGAAAGTACTTTCCACGTCAGTTCCCAAATGAACCGACGTTGAAAGTTGAATATTAAATACATTCTACGTCGGTTTTTAGTCAACCGACGTAGAAAGTACTTTCCACGTCGGTTCCTATATGAACCGACGTTGAAAGTCTTTTTGTTTTTATTTTTTTCACCCAAAAATTCACTTAAATTTGAAAATTGTCACTAGTAGGATTTGAATCCAAGATTTTAGAATTGAAAATTAATACTCCAACCACTAAACTACTATAATTTTCTAATAATAACTTGCAAATAAATTATATGTAAATACAAATAAATATATATTTATTTGTATATATTTTCCGGAAAGTATTTTTATTTTCAATCAAAAATTCACTTAAGTTAAAGAATTGTCATCGACAACATTTGAACCCAAGTATTTTAGAGTTGAAAGTTAATATATCAACCACTAAACTACTATAATTTTTTTATAATAATTTACAAATAAATTATATTGGTATTTTTCGATCAAGGGTGAAAGTGAGATTGACTCTCGCTTGAGTGAAAATATGTTAAAGCTCACGAAAATTCACTCGCTCAAACCTCGTTTGAGCAAAAATTAGTATTTTTTGCTTGAGAGCGAATGACGCGTTTCCCAAATTTATTTTATATCATTATATAAATAAAATTATAAAGATTATATTCTGTCATTTTACAAACTCATATAAAGATACGTGCTCACAAATTTAGCATCAAATTTTGAAAACCCACTCGACACACACTTTCACCTTCAAGCGTGCCCTCACATCCAACATATAAATATATAAATATATCAAAATATATAAATATATTTGTATTTATATATTTATATATTTACACGGATATATATATTTATTTGTATATAAATATAATTTATTTGTAAGTTATTATCAAAAAAATTTAGTAGTTTAGTGGTTGGAGTATCAGCCTCCAATTTTAAGGTACTGGTTCGAATCCTATCAATGACAATTCTCTTAAAAATTCAAAAGATTTCTATAAGTAATTTTAGTTAATTAATTATAGGAATTATTAGAAATATAAATAAATGTCAATTTTAAGAAATAATATGAAGTAGGTTAGGAGTTAATTGGCCAAATTATAAGTAAATAATTATAAATAAATTATTCAAGTTTTTTTATAGGTAATTAATTTGATTTAAGTTATAATGTATTTAATTATAAGGAAATCATTAAAAAATTATATAACATTTTTAGGTGATTAAAGACACACTTCAAATTTAAAATATTTATAAAATTACTTGTTTAGCAAATAATCATAAGTTTAATTTTTAGAG